AATATATATTTTATACATATTATAGTATATGTGTCACCAAGTTACCATTCATTATCTGTGTATGCACCAGAATCCAATTATGTATTTTCTGTTATTTAATTATCTATTACTTTTTAAATACTTTTCAAAGACTATTTACATTAATGTATTATTATTATAATGGCTTTTGTGTTTTCAATACATTTTTAGTAGTATTGTGTATATTATATCTATATATAGTCGGCCCAGTCGGTTTGTTTTTTCATTCTGGCAACTCTTCGCTATACAATTCAAAGGCCTACATACACATTTCTCTGACAATGTTGTCTGTATCCAGCAGGTGGCGTCAGACTCACAGTGAATGTCCCGGCTCAGTGTCAGGACATCAACCTAACTTTACTAAGTTATTATTACTCACACCTATGCGCGTTGTTCAGTCTGTAGTTTGAAGTGCTGTCTTCTTACTGACTCTAGGCAAATCAGGCAGTTGGTGTGGGCTGCTTGCCCGGACGTTTGGAAAACTATAGGCTGCAAACTCTGCCACTGACCCCTTCAACACACACACACACACACAGTATTAGTCCACAATCTAGTTCATAGTTGTGGCTTTAGCTTTTAGTTTCTGATACAGTGCAAACATCTGAATTACCGTCAATTACGCACTATAATGTCCACCACATTATTATGTCAACAACAGCCATTCCGGCTCCCTGCCCTCACTTGGTACCCAGAAACATCCGGAAGCACCATAGCACAGCACTCTGACTCTGCCGCACGGAGGGGCGGATGAAACACACGCTCTCTCTCTCCCTCCCTCCCTCTCTCACTCTCTCTCTCTCTCTCTCAGGTCTCTCCCTTCCAAACTGTGGAAAATACCAGTTCTGCTCTCCGGAGAAGCGTCAAAACACCCTAAACTGACGGACAGGTTTTTATTTTATACATATTATACACACTGAAGCTCTTCCACGCCGGCTTTATTGTTAACCTGTCGAGGATGGGAAACTAATGGTGAGTTAACAATCTGTTAAAGTTGCATCTGAGTGCTGTTTCTCGAAAGAGAATTCTGAAATTGATTGAAACTTTTGGATTGACTTATGGAAGTCTGCAGCAGAGACAAAAACTGTAGTTTTTTATCTATCTATCTATCTATCTATCTATCTATCTATCTATCTATCTGTCTGTTTAGAATGTATTAGATTTCCTTATATATTAAATATTTAATATCCTCATAATTACAGAACTGTGCTAAAGGGATTTGATATCTATCTAGCCTTTGTATTTCCTATTCTGTCATATTAGTAAATGTCACATTTTATGTGTTAGAAGGCCTGTATGGCAAAAAAAAGAAAGTGATTGATCTCTTGTAGTTCATTGGGATAAAGACTAGAGTGCAAATCATGTACTACAATATATTACAGAAGTTAATGGGCATGGCATCAATTATTAGCCCACACTCCATCTTAGACGACTTCCTGCTTGCATGACTGTCAACATCATTATTAGATTGCTGTCAATTAGAGATTAGACTGTCCTGTTTGCATTCTGCCAAGGCTGTACACACATAGTGTAGCCTGACAGCTTGTACTTTAAAAAAAAAACAACAACATGGATTTATTCCAGAGAGAACTATATTAACAGTTCCTCATCACCAGTTATTTTGCCAACGCCCTGAATGAGCAAGATCTAATCCGGATCCTGTAGTCTGTAAGAGGCAGATGTGAGTGTGTTGGTCCCTGAGGAGCCCGCAGATACTGAACTGTGATCACTGTGTATACATGTATGTTTTAAGTTGAACATGTTATTCCAGTCCTACTCATTAATGAAATACTAATCACTAACTCTTCTGGAGTCACTCTAGTCGTTGCCTTTGCTACAGCTCTGCAGCTAAGTTGTAGGCCTGGTTTTGTGATCAGCATAACAGGCTAGGATTGACCAAAACTGAGCTGTGGTGTATTGTGATCTTGCACAACACCCATATTCTTCACCTGTAATGTAAATCTCACAGAAGTTGTATTAACTTTTTATCAGTACATTAGTCTAAATTAAAGAATAGGTTTACATTTTCTATGCCTGCCTTGCAATAATAATAAATGTACATTGAAAGAGTTAGTTGTTGCTTCTGTCCGTACGGTCCCTGTGGAGATTCCTAGCTTATGGGATTCCAGTGTGAACAAAGTCCTCATTCTTTTTAGTATAAACATATATATTGTATAAATTGTATTGTGTTACTGTCCCTCTGGTGCAGCTCAGCGAGGAAAGGGTAATTTTACAGCCAGTATAGAGGGAAAAATTGATTACATCACCCATACACATATGGGCATGTCCGTATTGTACTGAGGCAGTCTTGTGAACCTATCCGATTGTTGTTGTGTAAAAAGCATTGTGGATGGTAGCTGTTACTGAGCCACTTGAAAATGCAGAGATGCGATTCCTCTGGACTACATGTTATTTACACCTTTGTTAAGGTCTACTTGTCTTTATTTTCTCATGCTTGTAGCTCACAGGCTGGTTTGAAGTCTTCTTTCAATAATCAATTGAAGGCAGATTCAGGACCCTGGTGAGAACATAGGCCACTTTTCTGTGCAGAGCAAACACACAGAGCTCATGCCTTGCTTTAGTTTATTAATTCATTTATCAAAATGGTAATCAGGTTTTGGGAAATGTTTTTATTTAACTGTATAACCAAGATTAACACTTGGTTTAATGTCAGTGGAATTGGGGTTTTTATTTGTCAAAATATCTATGCAGACACCTACAGTACGTAGCTTTACCCTTCAAGGGTTCCATTGGTCTTATTTGGAGGCCAGGAAGCCACAATCTGTCACAAACCATCATCTAAGTAATAAGAAGCATTCTGAGGTCAATGAAATTAAGTTCTTAAATGACTAATGTATACATTAAATATTCAAGCTGAGCTTCTGTTTGACACCGCATGAGTGTTTGATATACTTGCAGGTGAATTAGGAGGCCAGGGTCAGCCATCACTTAAAGCTCATCAGCAGGACACAGTTAAATGTATGGTTAATAGCAAATACCAAAACCAATGTGTTGACATTCTGTTCCAGCGAGAGTCGAAGGAAAATAAATGTATCCATTTTAGGTTAGTCAGCACAAGGTCATGATGCCGACAGGTTGCAGATAAAATGAAGTGGGCCTATTTGAAGCTTCAAAGTGGCAGCTCATATCTCAAGTTATGTGTAATGAGTTGGGAACAGATTGACAGTATGATGCATACCTCGTCAGAAGTAAGTCATTGCAGGTTGACCTTGTTGAATGAACATCAGGTTAATACTGTTATATGTTTTCAGATAGTTATCAGATAGTTAAGAAGTTTGTCTTGCTGTTGTTCTATTGTTGTTTCCTTTTACCCAGAGTATATTGTATTTCTTTTAATAGTTATATGCTATAGTTATCGTCATATAGAGGGGACTTTTTTCTTTTTTAATATCATTGCACATCAGTGGGACTTTATCAATGTACTTGGTGCGTAAGAAAGCTATGGGCTCAGTACTTTATGTACCATACATTATGTATCACTGTAACAAAGGGCTTAAAGTGTGCATATTTGAAACCACCACATGAGTTTCCGAAACCATACAAAACCAGTAAAGTAAGTAAGTATCCTATCATTTGCACTCAGCTATAAATTACAGCAGTTTCATGAAAAACGTTAACTCACTAAATGTGACTGGAAATTATATAAAACTCTGGTCCTAAATGGTTTTGTAAAATGCAATGTTTAAAAGCACATTTCTCATTGCTGTAGCGTGTTTGTGTTAGAGTTGTTGAATTTTGGTCTATTCTCTGATAGATTCAGACAAAGTGTTATAAGTGTTAGGCCAGCCTCTCTGGTCTTAAACCAGGTCGATAAGCACTTGTCCATAATGACAGTGACTACAAAAAACATTCTAATGGACATGAATAATAGGCTACAGCAAGTGTAAATATTTGTAACCAACACTTTGTAGTTACAAAGGCTCATGCGATACCTTTGAGTAGTTCAATAATGAAGTAATTGTTCATCTTTGTGTTCAGAGATGACAACACCACTGATGCATGTGCGCAAATGATCATCAGGAGCAATGTTAATGCTGTTGATCTGTAGCATGGTACCCAAGATTGTTATATTGTACAACACCAAAATCCCATTTAAATCAGTAATTACTCTACCTGCTGAGTTTCATCTTCTATGTCTGTGTGGCAGGTTTCTCTTAGTGTAAACCTCACATCTAAGTAGCTGTAAAAACCATGTGCACATTCACATATTATAATTTACACATAAACATAAATATTTTTGTAGTTGGACCTTCCTCTGTTGTTGCAATTACATCACACATGTACAAACCAGCGCTGTGGGCAGTTGATTGACCAGTGTGTTTGTGATTGATTTCTTGCATCACTGCATGTGGAAGTATTCTATTACACTATTACATTGAGATCAAGCAAAAAAACTCAGCTCACAGGGCACCCAGAGAGATGCAGTGCAGTCTCTAATGCATTCATATTTAATACTGCATAGGTCTGCCTAACACATCATACCAGTCAGGCCTATTAGCAGGATGAATCTTTTTCCTCCCACTCTGTCTCAGGCTCTGAGGGAAAAGTGAACTCTTCATTTTGAGGGATGGAGGAGAGGAGCAAGAGCCTCACCTGGAATAGATCATTGTCATGTCAAATCTTAATTTTATCTACAGAAGGGCAGATAATTAGATCTAATTTTACCATAGCTGGCAGGAATTTATGTGTACGACAGCCATCTCTAGGCTCATTATAGCCTGCCACTTCCTGAAATGAGGATCTCTCAGCAAAGAACAGAGCCACACCCACCTTCTTCTCTTCCAGTTAAAGCAGTCCTAATCTGCTGCTAGAAATACTTTTAATTAATTGTTTTCAATAAAATTATATTTCACAGTAGATCATGGAAGATTTAACTCAGCTTTTTAAAAAGTTGTTAACCTCTAATCAGAGCCCCTTATCTGTTCTGACCCTTCAGGCCTTTCCCATGTTGGAGGCTAGCTGTTCACTCTGAAGGTGCAGGATGAAAAGATGGCACAGCTGCTTGTACCACCAGGTCCAGACAGCTTCCGCCCCTTTACTTGTGAGTCCCTCACAGCCATCGAGATACGGATCTCTGAGGAAAACGCCAAGAAACCCAAGGGAGAGAAGAGAAAACGCAATGATGAGAATCAGCTCAAGCCCAGCCGTGACCTGGAGGCAGGCAAATCACTCCCTCTTCTGTATGGGGACGTTCCTAAAGGCATGGTGTCGACACCGCTGGAGGACCTGGATCCCTACTACTGTAATCAGAAAGTAGGTTTGCTTGAATTCAAAATTGAGCATGATTAGACTAAAACACAGAAGAATCGGGATTCAAATTTTAATTTTGTCAGATCATGATAAAGAGTCTGCAGTAAATGCAGTCTGCCCAGTTTGATATCACATGGTTTTGAATCTTAGACAGGAAGACAAGACCAATAGAAAATGTATATGGGTTTGTGATTAGTGATATGTACAGCAAAATGTGTGCTATAAATAATATGGCTAAAGCCTGCTTTAGTGGTTGAAAGTAACCCCATGAAACTATAATTTATTATTATTTTTAAACTATAATGAGATATTGCAAGTCAGCCAAATAGAAGTATTTTAATCATATGTCTCTTTTTCTGTCAGACTTTCATAGTATTAAACAGAGGAAATTTCATCTACCGCTTCAACGCCACTCCTGCCTTGTACATCCTGAGCCCCTTCAACCTTCTCAGAAGAATATCAATTATGATTTTGGTACACTCATATCCTTTCATTAAGATATTAATCTGATAAGCATGAATCATGTTTATATTGAGCCCACACTAAATCTGTGGTTACTCTCCTATATCCACAAAGGCTTTATTGTCTACATTGCTGCCTTGTGTGAGATATAATGAATAAAAAAAAAGAAGAAAAGTGTAAATTAAAATAAGTGGCTTCCTTGACAACTGCCTGTACATTGTTCAGTGTGGTGATCATGTGCACTATCATCACCAACTGTGCATTTATGACAATGCACCGACCGCCTGATTGGGCAAAGAATGTAGAGTAAGTATCCCTTTTATAACACTCTGAATCACATACCCACTCACATACATAGTGAAAATGCAGATTAGTTTAACAACAACATTTTGTTCCCAACAGGTACACATTTACTGCCATCTATACGTTTGAGTCCCTTGTTAAAATTTTAGCTCGAGGGTTCTGCATAGGAAAGTTCACATTTCTAAGAGACCCCTGGAACTGGCTGGATTTCAGTGTCATTGTCATGGCGTAAGTACTTGCCACATGCTCAGTTAATTAGAATATTGTTTTACATCTTTTCCCCAAAGCTTCCTCAGTATAGAGCCTGTGTTAAAGGTGCATAAGCAAGTTTTATGTTGTGCTGGTTTCACTGATGGTTGTAACAAAGGATTTATAATATGATCATTGCTTATATTACTAGTTATCATTTAATTCTGGTGTTATTTTATATTTTTCCTACAGTCAACAAATTACAAACCAATAAACACTTTATAACATCTATCTGGCTTCTCTCTCAGCCACAAGCCCACTGAAGAAGTACTGAAGAATCTTTTAAAATGGCTCACGAATATATTAAACATTTAACATTTTAATATATAGACATTTAAAAATCTTCTTCTACAACAGCTGGACATGGCTGGTAAACAGGAGTGAATACTGCATATGTTAGGCCTGTGTGGATGAACACACATTTGGAGCACTAGTGAGTATTTAGCATGGAAATAAAGGAACATGTCAGCTATATATATATATATAGTTAAGCTATATCAGACTTTGACTACAAAGACTTGTTAGTGGAAAAAAATAAGTGTTGGTTTTGGGTCGGAATTTGTTGGCAATAAGAACAATATAGAATATCACTAGACTTATCCTTTACATCTTTGTCACACGTGGGACGTGGTGCATATCTTGTTGAAATTTAAGATTGTTGGATTCAATTTGTGTTACATGTATATTTGTCTCAGTCAATATTTCATAGTAATTCTAAGTTTCCCTGCAGGTATGTAACAGAGTTTGTACCGGCCCTAGGCAATCTTTCAGCTCTTCGCACATTCCGAGTGCTGAGAGCTTTTAAAGCTATTTCAGTTATCCCAGGTAAGCAATAGGAGCATATGCATGTCAGTTAGCCTTTTGCATGGTTTTCTCCTGCTGCACCTCAACCTCCTTTCCTTCCATTTGCTTGCCCTCCTGCAACATGTGTTTGGGATGCTTCCAGACCAAACCTGTCAACCTCCTTGTCACAGATATGTCCCAGAGTTGTTTCAGCAATCTGAATGTCTCTAACTCTAAAAGCAATCTTGGACATCCCAGGTGAGCGCTAGTCCTCAGGGTGTTTACTGGATCACTTTCAGGGTACAGCTGTTTGACTCTCATGCAGAGTGCAGCCACTGAGGAATCACAGATGTAGCACAGTTACTCTGTGACATCTGTGCTATTTCTTTTGAAATCTGCTTCTTGTGTTTCTTGCACTGTTGCTTCTGAGTGAACTATTCCTTGACTGCCGTCTGCTCCTCTTTGCTTGTGGTTAATGAAGGCATATTATTGTGTGTCTGTGGTGAGGGTGTGTCCCATTATTGATGCATGGACAACATCAATGACATGCATGATCCTAATTTCCTGTGTTACTTTCTCCTGTCTGACTACCACATTGAGTTTTGACTTAACAGCCCCCATGTTGTTAAAATAATTGAGAGAAAAATGTTATCAAATGGGGGTAGCTAAAGACTTAAACTTAACTTTATTTTAGTGTTTCTTGTGTTTGCTATTAAACCATCACATAACTGTGAGAAGTCTCATAGCTTAGATGATAGTGGATTTTTAAAATATATTTCGTATTGTTTGACTGCTGTTAATGTTGACAATGTCTATTTGACAACTTAAAGTAACGAGTGATACTGTATCTGGCAGGCCTGAAAACAATTGTTGGGGCATTGTTCCAGTCAGTGAAGAAGCTTGCAGATGTGATGATCCTCACCGTCTTTTGCTTGAGCGTCTTCGCCCTCATAGGATTACAACTGTTCATGGGCCATCTAAGGCAAAAGTGTGTGCGGGTGCCAAAAAATGATACAGATAACATGTCAAATGTTTCCTTTTGGGATGACGAGTACTTGCTTAACAAAAGTGAGTATTTATTATTTTATTATTTACTATATTTATTTTATTCCTCTGTTCTACTCTGAGTTGCAGAGTAGTCACAACTTGATCCAGCACAAAAAAGTAATCAAGCAAGTAATCATAAAATATATAATGGGATGTTTTGTGATTAGGAATTATGATATTATTAACACTACTTTATGTCAATATACATTGAGTTACCATTTTATTTTATTTGCTTTTTTGCAAATACATTGTAATTTATTAGGCTATATTTAATGACAGTGACTACATTATATTGAGATACATATTATTTTGTCCTGTTGATTGGGGGGGACAAAACTTTGGAAACACTAGAAACACCATTCAATATAATGCCACCTACCCCAACAACACCACTAACTACTATAGCACTCTTGTGGTGTATTAAGTTAGACTATAGAGGTGTGTATTATATTATAATTCATAGTCCATGTTGGGTTTGTTTGCAATCACTGCCGACAATCACAGTGCTCGCCGCACATACCAAAACTGTGATTTTCTTTCTTTTCCCATCAGCCAACCATTATCACATTCCAGACAAAACAGACCCATTGCTTTGTGGAAACGGCAGTGAAGCTGGGTAAGCTTATTCCCCAACTACCAGAAGCTATACAATGTGAATTACTGGCTTGTTCTGAGCGTCACAAACTTTTTGTTGTTTATTGCAGGCAGTGTCCAGAGGGGTTCTTGTGCCTCAGAGTGGGAAGAAACCCAGACTACAATTACACCAGCTTTGACTCTTTTGGTTGGGCCTTCCTCTCTCTGTTTAGACTGATGACGCAGGATTACTGGGAAAAGCTTTACCAGCAGGTAGCTAATGGAATTAGAAAAACTGGAAGAACTTTTCCAAGCATACAATACACGCACATATATGCAATTATAAACCCTTATTTGATCAAGCTGCAAGAATATCAGCGACCTGAGGTGTGTTACTATATTATCTAGAAGTAACAGCATTGGTTAGGATGATCTCTGATATGCAGGTGCTCAGTTTTCAAAAGGCTATTGCATGATATTAAAAGGATTCAGGAAAAGGCTATCATCTGCATAAAAATTACATTACTACATGTAATGTAACCTAGTGGCAGCTTACAAAGAAAAGAGAGTTAATGGTAGCCATGTGGTGAGCTTTGAACTTAAACCCAGTAACAGCAGAAAATGATTCGATTCTAATCGAGAGATCCCAACCCAATGTTTAAAGGTATCCATACATGACTGTTAGTGGACAAAAGTACATTTTTTACTGTAATGTATTTTGTCAGTCAGTTCAAGTCAATTTAAAGATCCCTCACATCAGTTCTTAAATGGTTTGCAATCTTTAATAGTGTGATGCACTGAACTGTGTGTTTTTTATTAACCTAATTATTTATCCTTATGTGCCATTGTGGGTCTTCCTTGGCCTCTTTGGTTGACTCTGTGAGACGAACGTGTTTGGTGGCAGGTTAACTAAATGTTTGATGTGTGGTGGAGGTTGCTATATTTGTACTTTCTGCTCCTCTGAATACGTACACGTGTTCGCTGTGTTGAGGAAGGGCTCTGTCAAAGACAAGGCATTCTCACATTACAATATTGGTATTAAAAGTGTTCAAACAAACCTCTAAATGAAGTGCAGGTGCATCTTGGTCAGTAGGAACAAATATGAGTCCCACCCCAACTCAGGCAAACAAAAGTTGAATGGCCCTAAAGGCAAATAGATGTTGACTGAATAGGCCTCTGGACATTGTAAAGCAAACAGTAATACAACAAAGCTCCCATGAGCACATCTTTTTAGCACTGTGTGTAATTGGGTAGCATTACCCCTCCACAAGCTCTTTTATGTTATGGAACAGTGGCATTTATTTTTTTTTTTACTTTAATAGACCATATCCATAGTAGAAATTGACAACCCTTAATTAAATAAAAACAAACACTGTTGGTAACTAATATTTCTCATAGAAGAAAACAACAGTGGCTGTAACCACGGCAACAGCAGGGAAATAGTCAACTGTATGCATTCAAACCTCTGTCCTGATTCAATAATCTATGTTACTTTCACAGTCAACATGTTGTGGATAAATTAAACAATAAAATGACCTGAGGTGACACTAGCATGGTGCATTAATCTGCACAGTTTCTTACTCCTGAGAATGTGAATCAGTTTAACATGTTTCTCATGGTTGGAACATCATAATGATAGTCATATACTTAACTCACAGCCTATAGCACACCAAATGATTTACAGAAAGGCAAAAAAATGAATATAGAATTAGGAAATAAAAGATAAAAAGGTGGAATAAAATAAAAGATTAATGAATATATTGAATATTAAATGTAACTATAAGTATAAAACACATCTACCAGTACATTGTTTTTCTTTTTCCTTCCAGACGCTGCGGGCTTCGGGGAAGCCGTACATGATCTTTTTTGTGCTGGTGATATTCCTCGGTTCTTTCTACCTGATCAACCTGATCTTGGCTGTAGTAGCTATGGCCTACGAGGAGCAGAGCCAGGCCACCATAAAGGAGGCTCAGGAGAAGGAGGAGGAGTTTCAGGCCATGCTTGAGCAGCTGAAACGACAGCAAGAAGACGTTCAGGTAAAGGACAATCCACAAACTCAAAATCACACTATTGCTCCAGCACACTGATTCTGAACAAGGTCCGATTCCAACTTAATAACATAAAGTTGGGATACGTCTTATTTTAAGTACCAGAAATGTAATTGTTTTTAACAAGAGAAAGCTGAAGGGGTCAAGGTTGCTTCTTAGTAAATGATAGTTTACTTACAGCTACCAGCGAGATAAGTGTTTGCATGCGCACTGGTATCATGATTATGAGTTTTCCATATGATGTTTATATGGAACAAACAGCAAACCAGTTACACAGTGTATGGCCGGGTATACATAATAAATATGATTTTATAAGTGGTGGACGTAGGAAGTATTTAGATCCTTTGCTAAAAGTTGTAATAACACATTATGAAAATTCTCTATTATTAAGTCGTGGAGTCCTGCATTGAAAAATCTACTTACATAAGTATTAGCAAAATGTACTAAATATCAAGTGCCGCACAAATATAGCCCCCGTGAGTGTTATACTATTATTATAGTTGTACCTAACATTGGGGACACTGAGGTTATGTCCTCTGTATGTTCTCTGGGAATTTGGGGTTTTAAGCAACATAGGAGGAGTTTATATTCTACAATTAAAAACTTATGATGAGTATTTTATAGCATGATTCCTGTATTTTAGACTAACACAATATCTACGTTTAACTAGATCAATTAATATAAATAAATAAATACAGTTTCAGTGTTTCTCCACCAGAATGTAAGGCTTTGAAATAACACTTTGACCTTAAGGTTAGGAAATAAATGCAGAACATGAAATAGTAATGTTAACTCTTAACTTAATAGCTAAAAAAACATAGAAATCCAAGTAACATTTACTGATGTGGTGGAAGTCTGAATATTATATATTTTATTATTGAAGCATTAACATGTATGCAGTATTTTACTTTTTATTCTACCACTAGATTTCACGACCATCTTCCTTGGTTGTCACCTGCCAATCAAATTTGAATGTTTCCGGATCGAAGCAACTGTTTTGTGCCATGACCAGAGGCAATATGTTTTCAAAATGTCCATCCATCCGTCTGTCCCGTTCTTATGGGCATGAAATCTCTGAAATGTCCTCAAGACACTTTCTTCAAACTTGGCACAAATGTCCACTTGGACTTGAGGATGAATTAACTAGAATTTGGCAGTCAAAGGTCAAGGTCACTGTGACTGATGATGATACTAACTGCCTCAGAGAGACTGAACAATATAAGAATGACAAAGATTTACTCCACCTATTTCTCTCTTTCTCTTTCTTAATCTAGGCAGCAGCAGCTGCAGCTGGTATACAGTGCGGGGAGGTCAATGATAAAGCCGGAGGCACTGAGAGCTCCTCTGACGCCTCCAAGCTCAGCTCCAAAAGTGCCAAAGAGAGACGCAACAGGCGAAGAAAAAGAAAGGAGGAGGAGGGCAAAGGGGCTGATGACAAAATTCCTAAATCTGAGTCACAGGACAGTTTGAAGAAAGCTCGCTGCCGCTTCTCTGTGGGTGCAAACCAGCTTAACTATGACATGAAATGTTCATCCGCACATCAGGTTCAGTACGCTCTGTCAGTATGATTTGTCTATGAAAACTGTGTATTCTGCTACCTATGTATCTTGAACTGTTGCCCTGTTTTTAGCTTATTAAGTCCCTTCTCAATTCTAAAGCCCATTATATTATTGTGAATCAGTCAAGAAAGATAAAATGAATTTCAACTGAATATCTAAACTTGTTTTCAATTTACAAACTCATTAAATTACATATAGTTCCATATAACTTGCACCCTTTTTATCAAAATAATGTAAGAATAGGGACTCATGTACCAAGCCTGTTCCAGTGGCCACAATCTGTAACAAAATCTCTATTTTTGAGATTATGTCAGTAGAAATATAATGATAAGTGTTCTCTTAATTGAATGGTAGATATGTATTTTAAAGCTCTGTGGAACTTTTGTCAATAAGAAGACTCTCAAGGTTATATAAAAGACATTTGAATGGCAGATAGTTGTAGGCAAGTTTCAATTTTATTTTATTTTATTCAGTATGTGTTGCATTATTCGACATATATACTTTCCTGGTCCTTCATGAGTCGCTAACAAATTTTGTGATTGCTTGTCTGCTGTCACCATGACATTTTTTCTTTCCGTCATTGGTATCATCGTCATCCATCATCCTCTTCTTCTTTTTGTTCATCAACTTACTTACATATTATATAATATATGTCATTGTCAGTCATCATCAAGATGGCCCGAGGGCCCGATCCAGGGACTGCTGGAGGTCCCTATTGAAACTGCTATGTTTCTTCATTACCTATATTTTTAGCGCCTTTGACGTGCGTTTTTGACACCTGAAACATATACGAAAACCTCAATTTATAATTTGGCAAAGTTGTCAGGCTGGGTGGAAAATTTGATTACTCTATTGCCGTCGCTTTCATGTTGCGAACTAGGGGTGGCGACTATACTGGGGAGAAAATGTATTTGACTTTCTTGGTTACTTAATAACTTTCTGCCATAAGCTTTGTCGCTCACATTCAAACCTTATATCCACGCCGTTTCGGGAAATGGAGTCTGATCTCTGAGGTCCCCATATTAAGCCCGCCACTTCCGCCTATAAGTTTTTTTTCGTCTTGGTATTCTGAGTTTTACGGAGCGCGAAAGTCATATTTACTCTTTTTTTCGTGGTTCCTCTCTACACGCTTTTGGTCGATTCGATGCCCCTGATCAAAAACCGTAATTTGAATTATTTTTAAAATTTTTAAAAATAGAACATTTTTACCGACATTGGTATGTTCGATTACACCAAGCTTGGGTTGTACTCTCCCTTGGTTCTTCCTTAAGCATCGTGCTGTTTTGGTCCGTATTTCTGGTTTTTCGTGTTTGTCATTTGAACGACTCGTCCCTAGGAGAATTCAATCGGATCTGCTTCAAATAGGTCAGTGCCAGTTACTAAGTATTAGTGTCTGGGCTGATTAAAACGTGACTGTAGTTATTTGTATACGAACGTTTGAAGGGGGAGTGTTCTCGTTTGCGTGCCGTCAATTTTGGCCAGGATTGACTGAAATGGATTGAATTGAATGATTGAAAGCCTTTATTGCATTATTTGCTACCAGTACAATGAGGATTTTGGTAGCGAGCTTCCGTAAAGGCACACATAATTATCAATAACATTACATAATACATACATATGTGCAATTTTGAATGTAGAGAGTATTGGTGACAGCTTTGGGGAAGAAGCTATCCCTGAGTGCTTGTTTGTTCTGGCCCTTATTGGACCTGATCACCTGCCTGAGGCGCAACAGGTGTAAAGAGGGTGGGAAAGGGCCTGGGTGGGTGGGTGCCCTCAGGATGTTTCTGGCCCGCTGCATGACATGCGGGAAGTTGTAGATGGCAGTCAAAGGGTTAGGCAGAGGGCAAGGCCGATTATTTCTTGTGCGTGTTTGTCACCGTCTCGCAGTCGCTTCCTGTCGGGCCTCCGTGCATGCTGGGGCAGTGCCACACTTCACAGCGTAGGCTTTCAGCAGGCTCCTCGGGACATGGTTGGACGGATAGAAGGTCTCAGCAGCTGGAGTGTTAAGTGTGTTCTTCCTGAGCACCCTCAGGAAGTGTACCGGCCTGCTGGGCCTTCTTTTTTTGTACGCGAGCATGTAGTGTATGGCAGACAATGGTATTTCCATACCGACAGGAGTGATCTGCATGAGACGTGTGATTCGTATGCTGAGAATTTATAAAGGCCCCCCCATGCGCCTCCCATCACCGTGATGTACAGGTGCGGCGTGGATAGGCGCGTCGCTAACTGTGGTGAATTATACTTACCGCTCTCTGCAAGTATCCATGGCGATGGATTCCTTAGGTCTCTTGTGAAATTGTTTAATATTAGCTGGCCAGGATTGATTTGTATGCTGGCTATGCTCCATCGCAGAAGTTGCTATGCCGAGCTTCAGGTTAAGTACGCTGTTTAGAAAATATCTGGTTGTGTTTTTTTTCATAAGGAGCTCAATTCACTCTGATTAATGCTTCAACTCATAGGTTCTTACTGGACGGCCTCGTTTCTCTCCAGTTGCGCGCCATACCAACGTGTGGTGTCAATCGCGCCTTGCTGATCTGGCAGGATGTGTCTGCCTGTGGGCGAGCGGACTGCATGTTCCGTGACCATGTGTACTGAAGAGGAAGGACAGCAATAAAATAATATGCTAACATATTAATGGATTATTCATAGTACACAGTAGAGCGTGTGCGGGCTTCGGTATCGCGCCCCCTTGTGGTGAGACTGCATAAGCTCGGGAACTTCGAGGTCATACTGAAAATGCCATTTAAGATGTTGGCATTTCATCTTATTTGTTGTTCTTTTCTAGGAATCTGGTTAAGAAGAAAGCATTTCGAATGGACACTGAAAGACCAGGCATGTAACATTGCCTCATAGTAATTTCCAGTGAAGATGTGTTGCGAGGAATGAGAGAGGTATGATGGGGTGAGGACCCATGTTATTCGACCTGCTGGCTGTTCGTGGAACCAAAAAGTAGAGCAGCTTCTAATAGATTAGTCAAGAAAGTTGTCGGATAGACGCAGTTTGCTATTGACTGAATTTCACAGACCTTTCACAGTCTTACCATTTTCTGCGGTCTACGTAATTGACAAAACGCCTACTAGGGAGGAATTATAATGAGGATCATACTCAGTATCGGTCTTGGGCACAGGCAGATACGATCAGAGGTCGAGTGGTTCATTTGTGAATTTTATCTGTGGTTAAGTTATTCTGTGATTCCTTTTACGTACCAGTGGGGTATTTTAGACCATCTCTACCTCCACGCAAGACTACAACGCAGATCTGCTTTCATAAATGAAATATAGTGTCTGGTTCGGCAGTACCAAAGTCTTCCCAGCTTCGAAAGTAAAGGAGATATAGCGTGCGCGGGTTAAAGTTGTGTTGGCCTATTGTTGTCCAAGCGCGTACGGTTGAGACGCAGTACATGATCCGCCAGAGCTTGACGTAGGAACCCAATTTACAGAGATGCTCGTCAAGATGTCCAAAGTCTTGTTATATGTCGTACCACCTATGTCATGACTGTAGATTATGCCCATTTCCAGGCATGATTTTTGTTCTTCTTGGTGGTTACTAACTCCGCCTGACAGATTTTATCAGAGGTTGACTGAGTCCAGATCATGCTACTCATAGAACTCAATTGTGTGGTAGATCAGTGAGATTGTATCCTTATTGTGCTAAACTATCAGTATACACGATATCAAGTTGAACTTTCTCGACTTCAGTTACGTGCCGTCTTGACGTCGCCATCGTGTAAAGCATCGCAATCTCTGTCTCGTAGTTGGCCATATTAACTAGTATCACACCTCTAATTTATATCTAGTTACTAGAAGTATCCTGAACACGTCTTGCTCACAACTTCATAGTGCATGGCATTCGTCCTAGATCTCAACGGAAACTTCACACGTTTTTCGATAGAAGTAACAGTCACCATCACAATAATTAAGATAGCAGTTAACATGATAATAGACATATAAATAACGAGCCCTAGATACGATAGTGAGAGCTACACCTCTGCCAACGGGATAGTTAAGACAGTAATACTAGAGGTCTGGCAATCTTAGAAATCTGTATACAGTGAAATATTTCAAATTTGTTTGGTGTATAGTGCCGCCGAACGTGTAAATATAACTGTTAGCGGCAAACGTGAGTTGTAGTCCGCGTCGCTGTGCTGAGCTATGCGTGAGAAGTGCTATCGGTCAGCAGTCACAAAGCGCTGCTTGCTCAGCTAAACCTTGTTTTATCTATCCTGTTTCCTGGCCTGGGGATACCAAATGATTAGTTATCATTATGAAATCTATCTTTAACACACCTCCAGATAATAACGATACACGATGCGTTATCTGAGCCAGCATCATTCTATCGGTATTCATCAAATGTTCCTCCATCACCTACCAATCGCAACCGTCATACTTCTACCACTTCGGAGGGTGCAGCTATACTTATTCTAGTAGTCGACGTCAACAAAGTCTCATAAAGATTTAGCATGTCATAGTCGTGCTTGCCTTTTACTCTACATCGGAAAACAAAATCTATATTCATTGATCAATGACCCATGCAAACCTATCGGCCACCCGTACTCAGTGTCTTAAAAATGCTACATGGGAATGGAATATGACTATGTTTTCCTTTATATCAATCACCTATATGGATTTCTTATTTCTGAGTATCCTACTACCTTGAGCCTTGTCTCGCCTTTTACGTTTATCCAACCAAATATCTGATCTTATCATCATCCGGGTATATGTTTTTTCATGATTATTACATTCAACTCTCCACCCAAACTATTAGACTCATTTATTCCATTGAACCTACCTCGAGTCATTCTCCAATCATGCTCAGTCTTATACAATCCGATAGTATACACAATAGCATGCAAGATTTTTTCTCTATTCACCTCATCGACTATCTGATAACTCACACTTTTAATTTCATAAGTCGCATCGATTGACGGCGTTGTTGCAACGATTGATTCTATATAGGCTCGATTTGGTTCCCTCTGAGCAAGCCCAACCCGGTTATCATATATACATGCATCTGCAGACGTTCCTCTCTCAGTGTTCTGTCTCCTCCCGTGCTTCCATGAGTCTATTCGTTAGGGCAACCCTGTTCTCACCCGATTCGCGGTATACCTAGCAGAGCTCAGCTTTCTATGTTTGTCGGACGCCATATGCTTCAGGACTTCTAGAGCTTCCCTGTCGTAGAACAGTTGGGTGCCTTGCTGCTTGTTCGATGTAGAAGGCGAAGCATTTTTTCGTGTTGGCCATATCTGGGTCGGGGGGTCGCACTATTCCTATATCGCGCAAGGACGTTAGAACATGATCAGCTCGCCGAGCCGGCAGAGTCACAAGGTGCATGCTCAAGAGCCCGAGACTTCTTGCTTCTACATTTTCTGCGATAATTTCCACCGCGAGAGTAGGACTCACCGTAGGGGCACAGCTACTGTGGTGGACGTGCGAGGGACATTGCGGTGTTGTGTCTCTGGTTGGGTGGGAGTTCACTCCCATGCGTTCACCTGTGGGGTTCTCTAGCCATAACTGGATGGTTTAGTATGGCCTCACTGGATGGTTTGTCGGATGAAATGCTGCATCAAGCTGGCTGTGATGCCCTCAGTGCACAGAGCCAACATGCGTTTGTCTTGTTGCTCTCTGAAGGCGCCTACTTCCTCAGAGCGCACATGTGGATGGCGTCTGCATTATGTTCACCGATGCCATTCTGGTGCTAGTCTCAATTTCTAACCTATTGTATACCTTCGTTGAGATTGATATGGGCTAAGAGGGCGTTTCAGTTTG